TATATATATAAGCAAAGTTGCCAAACAAGTCTCAGCTTTCTCAAAATCTGAGCTCTTGCGCTCAGCTCCGCCACAATCATTCATATCTAAGCAGAGTATTTACATAGTCACTAATGCTCGTTATCAATTCTATTCCACAGCCATTTTGACAATAATTAAGCAAGTTTTAATTGTGAATCTTTGTCTTCCACAGCGTGCACCGAGGACGAGTACGATTGCGAGGACGCGACATGCATATCAAGCGACTTGAAGTGTAATGATCGAGACAATTGCAAGTTTCGCTTCGACGAGGAGAAGTGCAGTGTAAGTGTGAAAATCAACGAGCCACAGATTACCTGATTTGTTTTCTTTTTCTTTTCGCTCTCCCTCTGTGTCTCTCTCTATGTCTCCCTCTCACTCCCTTTCTTTTACCCATTGGAAATACATTGTGAGCGTCTCAGCATCTCCTCTTCATCGTCATTAAGTTGTGCAAACTTTGTGCATGCATCTAATTATAGGCAAACGAGTGTGCCACACACACGCACACACATATATATGTATATAGTCTTGACTATCATTTGAACTATGCCACACACACACACACACACGCGCAGATAGACAAAGTTGGCCAAATAAGTTTTGTTTGCAAAGTCTGAGGTTTATATTCGAGGCGTTCTGCTTTCTCTGCATTGTCAACGCGCGTTGTCCATGGACTGGGCTGAATTGTTGTTATTGTTTTAGCTTTACGCTCAAACTCCACTTGCTAATATTTTTCCTTTTGATTTGAAATTTTTTTTTTTTTTTTTTTTTTTTTTTTTTTTTTTTTTTTTTTTTTTTTTTTTTTGGTGTTTTGTTGTTTTTTTAATTGTGTTAGATGATTAGATTTGATAAGGTCACCCAGCGTCAGCGATTGCCCATTTTTTTGGCTTGGCTCTAAAGCAATGTCTCCTCTGTGACTCATTAAACTTGAAAGCGAGCAAATACATAGTTTGCATTCCTCGGGGGGCTGCTCTGTGGCTGTCTGCTGTAAATCTTGTTTTTTTTTTAAAACTTAACTAATTGAACAAACAAACATTCACAAATGCGTTTGCAAGCATTTGTTTTTTTGATTTACAACTCCGGCTAGACTCTTTCGAGTCGTAATTAATTGCAGTGCAAACATTTTTTTGTTCAGTTGCTGTTCAGCTGTTCAGCTATTCAGTTATTCAGTTATCCAGTTATTTTTTTTTTCAGTTATTCAGTTATTTGTTTAGCCATAATCCAATTTAATAATTACGTTCATTTTTTTTTGTTAACGATAATCGCATTACAATTTGGAATTCCAATTGTTTAAGTATATATAAAATCAAGCGATTTGTTGCCACTAATTTGTGTTGCGATTGTTCCTAAATTGCCAAATAAATCATTTTTTTTTCTTGCCTTTTCTCTGACTAGCTCTCTCTCTCTCTCTCTCACTCACTCTCTCTTTTTTTTCCTCTCCACTTGACTCATAATTGGCGCAACGGTTCAAACGTGCAGCTCAATCATTTTTTTTCACAATCATAAAATATATATGTATGTATGTATATGTGTATTCATATATTTTATATTTTTTTATATGTACATATATTTAATTGGCTCTGATTTAAATTAGAGCTCGAATTTCGACTTTTTTTTTTCAACGAATTTGATTTCGCCAAAGCAAACAAATCAACTTAGACAACCGTCATATTTTTTTCATTCTCGCTCTGTGTGCGCGTGTGTGTGTGTGTGTGTGTGTGAAGGTGGGTCCATGTGTGTGGCTTATGAAAGCTTTATAATTATGCAGTTTTTGCTGGCTTGTTACGCAGAGCAGCCAAAAAGCCAACATGCTGTAACATCATTCAAAGCCCGTTTTGTGCGCTCTTTCATTTTGTTATCATATGTCGCTGCCTATTAAAAATTCATGGCAAAGGGTATGCACATTCGTAACAGGCAGCACAGGAGCCAATGAAGTATGTAACAGCTATGACAATCTGTAGCAAATTGAATTCAAATATATTCTATAAATTTAGTTTGAAGACCTAAAGTCAATTTAGAAATAGACGAAATGAAAATTCTGAAAGTTATATCTAGATTGTTTTGCCAAGCATATTTACTAAATATGTATTATATATATTCTCTATATATATCTACAATATATGTTATTTACTTTGCATATTTAATTGGGGCTTGTCAGCTCGGTTACGTATATGAAATTTCAAGTCTAGCAACGGTTTTTAATGGACTGGCGGACAGCCGATGTGAACAATACAAACATTCACTTTTCGCTTCATCAACAACCGAAGCGAGTTTTAAATTTTAATTAAATACATTTTTCTTTTTTTATAAGCAATATTAAACTACATGAGAGTAGCAAGTTTGCAGCAGAGTTTATTTAAAAAATATATATGCAAGCTGAGCTGTATTTGAGGTTTACCCTGGGTTAACCTAATGCCAAATAGTATTTATAAAAAAAAAAAAAAAAAATCATAGATTGAACACAAATGTCAGGCTGTTCAATTAGGACTTCATTTGCCTTCACATTAGGCTGTCTGTATGCGTGAATCCACGTTGATTTTGGATTCTATAAAAATCTATAGAACAGTTCGAATCTCATCTTCAGTAATCATATAGTGTATAAAAATATATGAAGTCTAAAAAGTAGGACAACCATTTGCCTACTTGTTTTCTTGCCCTTTATACATATAATTTGAGTACATATATTTTTACATTATTATTATTCTGACATATATGCACTTCCTTTCACAGAATGAAACGCCCGGCCAATCGGAGCATGTGGTCATCATAATAATTGTGTTTGGCCTGATACTGGGCGGCATGTTCATCACGTTCATTGTCAACTGTGTGCGAAAGATTATACGAGACCAGAAGATAATACGCGTAAGTAACGTAATAATGCTTGATTGTTATTAGGCAGCCCTCTCTGCGCGTTCTTAGTGCCCCAAAATAAAATAGAAACTACCTTCACAATGTCTTTGTCTAGCCTCTAGCCTCTTGCCTTTTGCCTCTCGCCTTTGCCTCTTTAGTCTGTTTGCCTTGCTCACACTCTGCTCGCTGTGCTTATCCTGCTCGCTCTAGTCACTGCCCGACCCGAAATTAAAAAAAAAAAAAAAAAGAAAATGATAAAAAACTTTTCCGTCCCCCACGTATACCCCACCTGCAGTCGGTGGCCGGCTAAGGACAGTCTCTCGGTCCGCTCCATATGAATAGAATTTTAAACATGAAATAACATAGATTTTGTTAAACAGCAATGCTTATATCGGCGAGTTCTTTTATCATGCAATACAGACACACGCACACACACACACTCTCATAACAGCAGCAAGCAAACAATTCACCAAAATTTTAATGTATGTAAATTGTAAAATTTTTAGTTATTCCAGCTGACCAGATACGCAAAATGTAACCAAAACAAAGTCTGCGTTCTACCAAAAACTCTTTATGCTTATTATCTCTTTTTGTGTGTGTGTGTGTGTGTGTATGTGTCTTTGGTGTGCTATATGAGCATTTTGTATGCCCTGTTAATATTTAATATTGGTTTAAAGGGGCTTTAGGCTCCTTATATTTGATATACGGAAATAGAAAAAAATAAAATTTTTTCTAATATTAAACTTGGCTATAAGTAGAAATTTTATAGGCAATATACATATGTATGGGTATGTGCAGTAACAAATATTTTTATTTTTTATAA